GGATAACAATGACTAAATCTCTCTCTTTTTATTTTCTTTAACGTCTTTTCATAGAGGAACAGCATACTACAATCGTCGAAACAGAAACCTAAAGAGTCTAAGCGCCCGAGTTGGGTTCTTGCCTCCACCATCATTTAGTTATGTGGATAATTTATTTAACTTCTTTGTGTACCAGACTTTATCCCTGATAAAATCTAATTCACAGAAGAGTACATACAGTTGATCTTGAACAACTTGGAGATTAGAGACTCAGATCCCCTGTGCAGTCGAAAATCCACGTATTACTTTTGACTCTCCAAAAACTTAACTACCAATCGCCTACTGTTGACTTGAAGCCTTACTGATCACATAAACAGTCAATCAACACATATTTTATATGTTATATGCATTCTATACTGTATTGTTACAATACAGTAAGCTAGAGAAAAAATGTTATTCAGATAATCACAGGAAGAGAAAATTATACATATATTTTATGTATTTATGACATATCTAACTTTTTCTTACTTTTTCAATATTTTTAGGCCATGAGGCACATCTGCAAGATTTTTCAAATTGTCACAGTCTCCAAAAAAAGTCCAATATATTTATTGAAAAAAATCTACATATAAGTGGATTCACGCAGTTCAAACCCTTGTTGTTCAAGGGTCAACTGTATATTAATCTATATAAAATCCATAGAGCACAAAATAAGTATTTAATATATGTTAGCTATTATTATAGCATCTTGCTCTTTTTCTATCACACTGATGGATGTAGAATTTAGTCTGCTAATGTGGTTAATATGCCAGACTCAATCAAGTATGGATTATTTTTAGAGTAAAATATAAAATGTGCTTTCAGTCTGACTTGGTTTAAGGTCATTTGTGTCTTCATTTCACAGGAGAAAAATTAATAAATAAAATCCTCTAAACAGTCCAGCCCTGCTTTATGGCTTCTGCATTGCGATTTTTGGCAATAGCTATAGCTCCAGCTTATAATAAAGAATTACCTTACCTTGCTGATCATTGCCTTATGTACATAATTTCCATGGGGATTTCAAAGATAGAGTTAAGGGCATATTTCAAATGTGTTACATTCAGCTATCCCAAAACTTATACAATTACCTTTTTCTATTCCACCCTCAAAGAGAGCCAAAGAGGAGAAGAATCAGTTTCACGTGTTCATGCACACTATGAAATTATGTGTGAATGTATGACTTAGTTTGAGAAGATGGTCCTTTGCTTTGCATCAGTTTCTAAAAGAAATCTGTGACTCCCAAAAGTTTGAGATATACTGAATTACTACCTCTTCTAGGTTAAAAGTATGGGAAGAATGGACATATTTTATTAAGTGAAGTGTTGAGTGGATTTTGGTGAACATAGAGCTATTAAAACTGAAGAAAATATTTTCTTTCCTTAAAAGGCAGAAGCATCAGTAGTTTGTATCACTAAACCCATAAAATTCAGGAGACTGGAATACAAACTCTATGACACGAGGTCCAAGTGTTTATTGTTCCTATACTTTAAACAAACATCACTCTTCTTTGGCTAAATGCTTTATCAGAGACCGAGCATTTGGGAAAGGAAATTGTTTCAGGAAGTTTCCATGTTTTTGATCCCACATACCTCTGATTTTTAGTTGCAAATAGGTAATAAATGAGACAATTACACACACTGAACTCAGGACTATCACCACGCCAGCTACTATAGGATGTGCCATTTTGCGGAAGCAATCTGGAGAAAAAGAGATAACATAATTCTTGGTTATCGGTGTGGAGTTACTTCAGATTGAGGGACAATACACCAAGAAAGCAAGAGCTTCTGTATTAATGCCATCCTTCTGTCTTAATTTAGAATAGGAGTAAGCCTTAGGTCTAAAGCTGTTGATAAGTAGGGCAAGAATCAGGGCTATTTCTAGGATGAGAAACAGGTTTTGTGCTGAGGGTAAACAGACCTGGAAAAAAGCAACTCATCTTTCTTTTTCTCTATCTAGCCCATTAATCAATATGCCTCATTAGAGAACATGAGACAAGAGTTATGCACTAGTCATTATTATTATCCAGGTTTGAAAGAGACCAAGAATATGGTCTGGAGATCTCTGAGTGCCTAAGAGATCCTAAGAACTTTAGAAACAAGAATCTCATAAATGGAAGCATTGTCAGACAACATATTTCTTAAAATCTCATTTCACACTTACCATTATAGTGTCAGGAAGCTATCTAGGCTTCCCATGAAAACATTCTATTATGTGGAGGCTTACTACCACCGGCAGTGCCTATTCCTGTGCTGGGGAGTTTTAGGCCCAGTTTCACTTAGTGGTTAAATTATGGTATACAAAGCTTCATTTGTGAGCCTTATGATGGCATAACATATCCCTTGTTTTTGTCTCCTGTGTTAACAAAATTTGGCACCCATCCACAAAAAGAAGTGTTTCTGTGGGAGCTGTGAGACACAGAGCCATACAAGACCTGGGAGGAGTTTTACCCACCTGTACATCTGGTGGTAGGCGAACAGTCTTCGATACAGGCTCTGAAATATGCAGAACTCGATCTGGCTTCTCTCGGCTGTCGCTCTGAAACATATGCACAACACCGACTTAAGCTGTTACCTACCCAAGAGAGAGTTTTGTGGAAGTCCAGGTTTCCAAAGAAGTTCCAGCACTCCGCTGGAGCAACAATAACAAAATACATGAATATGGATTCATTGGAGTGGGTAAGAGGACCATCTTGACCCCTCTCCAAGGAAGCATAGCTTAGGGCTGAATGAGATGGCTGTGAGTCCTCCCATGGGGAATGGGAGCACTGGCGAGTGAATGCCTGGCTTCCCCAGCTGTGCCGATGGCTGCTAGAATTCATTCATCTCTCACAGTATCCAGTGTATTAAATTAAAAGCTCCATGAGTTGGGGGGAGTCAGCAGATCAGGACAGTGTATATAAGGCTTAAGGAGGGCATTGATGGGATATGGCTACTCCTGATTGCATTCTGGACTCCATCAAGAAGCCTGTCTATGAGGCATCCTGACCCAAGGATCCCCCCAATTGGCCTGCTGGCACATCTAGCACATCACATGCCAAACCCACACCTCCTTCCTCTTTGTGGCTAGTTCCCTGTGCCTGCTTTGGAGGGTAGCAGTGAGCAAAGTGCTGGTAGGGAGCATGTGCAGAAAGCAGGCCAGGGTGTTGGCGCAGAGGAGAAACCACAAACTCGAACTGTAGAAACACCTTCAGCGAAAAAAGAGAGTCTGAGAACAGCCAACCTGGTGTTATAAAATCAAAAAAAGACAGATAAGCTAAAGAATTCTTCCACAAGAGGGTGCAAGTACAGAACAGGTATATCCACACAAGGTCAGGGAAAGCCTCAGATTCTATAGCAGTTGCAAATCATGTATTTGATAGAGGTCAATATCCAAAATATATAAGGAATTCATACAGGTCAATAGCAAAACAAACAAACAAACAAAAAAACCCACAAACAATTCAATTTAAAAAATGGGCAGAGGATCTGAATAAATAATTTTCCAAAGAAGAAATACAGATAGCCAACAGATACATACAAGAAGATGTTCGCTATCTCAAATCAACAGAGAAATGGAAATCAAAACCACAATGGGACATTGCCTCATACTTGTTAGAATGGCTATTGTTAAGAGGACAAGAAATATTAAGCGTTGGTGAGAATGTGGAGAAAGGAGGACTCCTGTGCAATGTTGGTGGGAATGTAAAATGGTGCAGTCACTACGGAGAACAGTATGGAGGTTCCTCAAATATTAAAACCAGGACTACCATGTGATCGAATAATTCAACTTCTGGGTACAGTCATGTGTCACATGACAACATTTCAACAACAGACCGCATATACAATGATGGTCCCATAAGGTTATAATGAAGCTGAAAATTTTCTATCTCTTAGTGGTGTATTAGCTGTCATAATGTAACACAATGCATTACACGAGTACTTATCATTGTGTTACAACTGCCAACAGTGTTCAATCAGGTAACACGCTATACAGATTTGTAGCCTAGGAGCACAAGACAAATGTCCATTAACAGATGAATAAGGAAACAAAGTGTGGCAATACACACAAATGGAATATTATTCAGCCATAAAAAGGAATGATATCTCGCCATTTTTGTCAACATGGATGGATCTTAAGGGCATTATGCTAAGTGAAATAAGTCTGAAAGATAAAGATAAATACCATATGATCTTATATGTGGAGTCTAAAAAAAAATAATAATAACAAGCTTTTAAATACAGAGAACAGATTGGTGGTTGCTGGAGGCAGGGGTGGGGGATGGGCAAAATGGGTGAAAGACATCAAAAGGTACTAATTTTTAGTTAGAAAATAAATATGTCATGGAGATGTATACAGCAGGGCAAATATAGTTACTAATACTGTATTTCATATTTGAAAGTTTATAAGAGAGTAGATCATAAAAGTTTTCATCATAAGAAAAAATTTCTGTAATTATGTTTGGTGACGAATATTAACTAGACTTATTGCAGCTTTAGCTCCCCCACACCCAAGTGTATCTCCCACCCTTCAGACTTACTTACTTTGTATTCTGCAATGTAGAGCCACACTGGGCACCATGATAATGATCAGCAGAGTCAGAACTGTCATCAAAATTAGCATCCAAATAACATTCCATGGATACAGTTTATCTGAAATAGAGAGCCACAAATTTTACTACTTAGGAAACTTAAGAGTGTTTGGACCCACTAGACCAGGAGTGATGATTCATCCAAAGCATGTTTCTATGCAAGACCCCGTGGTCCTGGGATATTAGAGCTAAACCAGTTTGGGGAGGTAGTTATATATAACTGGGTGGGTAAAAAGTGAGAAAGTGTCTGGAGTGGGGCTGAGCCAGGTGTGATTTTGTTTGAGAAAAGAGCAAAGGTGAGTGAAAGAAGCTCCCCCTTTTCACCCCATTTCTTCCCATCTATTTCTATCTCATGTTTTCCCTGACTAAAGGGGAAGAGGCAGTCTTTCAGTCCTTTTGTCTAAGCAATCAGTACATGTGTGGTCCTGAAGTCTCTAATATATTCCCTGGGTGAGACATTGTGTTTCAGAATATATTTAGAGACATATGTTTATGTAAATTTTCCTCCTTTCCTGTTCATGTGAACAAGTATCTTCTTCAGCCTGCTGGTTTGTACATACTGGGCATGGACGCCATCATTTTGTTTGGGAATCTGATATCTTTCTTCCCAGAAAAAACTCTCTACCTTGAACGTGCCATTTCACACAGAGAAATGAACTCAAGAGATTGTAGAAAGCCAATCACAAATTCTGCTACTCAAAATTTTGGGTATGTTTGGTGTGGCAGGAACTCGGATTGAGCTGGAGCTTTTCATGTATGTAATTCATGAGAGTGAGACCCCTATGACTTTGAAGCCAATTCTATATTCAGATGAGCAACCCCACACTGCAACCCAGTAAACTGAAAAAGAGCTTTCTCAGCTCACAAGAGACAGGGACAGATTCCCAGGTAAGATTAAATTTTGATTATGATATGTTCTTTATCATAAGTTTGAAGTCTTATCCATGTTTTCTGACATTTAGTGAATGGAAAATACAATCTCTCTCAGATATCTCTATTTCCCAGAACTTTAACTTGATCCCCAGAGTTTGTGTTAATTACAATTCTTTGAAAACATGTTTTTAAGAAGTGCATATCTACTTTAGGAAAGTGTTAACTCAGAAAATATGGCCCTTGTTATTTACTGAAGTTGTAAATAAGTTACCAAGGATTTTACCCATTTTACTTTCTTTGTTTTCTACATATCTATCCTACTATAAATTCTGGGGGCAGAGGATAGGTAGTTTAGTCTTTCTTTGTCTCCGGTAACTGCTTGCCTTATAGAAGTGTCTTGCTGTTTCTGACACAACCATAATATGAAGCTCTGTATTTTTTTTTTCTTTTTTGGGGGGAAGATTAAATGAGCAAATAAATACAAAAATAATCTCAAAGTTGTAAATTGTTAAACCTGTTAGGGGACTTATTCCTATGATAACATTCTTGAATTAGGATATCCCTTTCAGCATCTGGCTCCAATATTAATTTCACAGATATACACAAATACTAATACAGATATATTTACTTGGCACTTTACGAGGCACTCACTCTGCTTTATTTCAATCATTCAAGTATCAAATATTTGTTGCGTAACAGGCAATACTTGAAGCAGCTGGGGTATATCAAGTATATAAAACCAACAAAGATCTCTACCTTCATGTTTTAGAAAGGGAGATAGATAAGGGACAATAAACATAATAAATAAGTTAAGTAGTAGGTTAAAAAGTAATAATACTATGTTTTTAAAAAGTTAAAGAAGGATAAAGAGATAGGGAATCCCAATTGGTTAGGGGCAGGTTGTATTTTTTCCAGTTGGCTTGTCTAAGTAGTTCTTATTCAAAAGGGGAGAGTTGAGTATAGACTTGAAGGAGATAAGGGAATTTAGTGGAATTACAGCATTCAGAGAAGAGGGAGCAACAAGAGCAAAGACCCCCAAAGCAGGAGCAAGTCTGGCATGGTTGGGAAACAGCAAAAAGGTCTGTGTGACTAAACTAGAGTGGATAAAAGTGAATGTTAGGGGGTGAGATCAAATAGGCAATGTGGGCACAGATAATGCAGGACGTTGTGGGGGTATTTTATGCTGAATAAAATGAGGATCTATTACAGAGTCTTGAACAAAGGATGATGTATGTCTCATCTTTTAAATGGTCCCTCCTATTTATCTGTTGAGGGTATACCATAGTGGACAAGAGAGTAGAAATAAGGAGACCTTTTTAGATACTATTGCCAATATTTGGACCATGGACGATGGTGTCTCAGACTTGGATGGCTGCAAAAACGTGGTGAAAAGTGATGAGACTCGGGATATATTTTAAAGTATTATCTTTTAACATATGTGGTATAGAATATGAGAGAAAGATGGGAGTCAAGGATGACTTCAAGGATTTTATTCTTTGAAACTGAGAAAATGAAGTGTGATTGGGAAGGCAGTAAATTATACAAGTCAGGAGGTGATTAGGAGTTTAGTGTTTGATGTGTTTGATTTGGGATATTGGTTAGACTTCCACATTGAGGTGCTGAGTTTAGAGATGAGACTAGAGTTGGGGAGAGAGGTCTGGGTAGGAGATACCATTTGCGAAGCCATTGTCATACTGATGGTATGAGAGAGAAAAAGGAGCAAAGACTAGACCCTTGGGTAACTCCTATATCAAGAAGGCAAATTGAAAAAGATGAAGTAGAAGAAAAGAATAAGAAAATGAACGAGATGAGGAATAAAGTCAAGAAAACGTAATATCCTGGAAACCAAGTGAAGAAAGCATATTATTTTTTCTCTTCAGTTTATAATTTTATGACAACGGCCATCATTTGAAGAACAAACATACAGGTCTTACCTGATAGGACAATGCTTGTCATTTCCTCTTGACCAGTTACAGGGTTTTGAAGGTAGCAGGTGACATTCCTCTGGGAATGTCTAAGGAGAAGAGTCATTTTCATGTCAAACAATTTGTTTGTGTCCTGTGAATGTGATTTCGATGCAGGTGGAATAATTTCTCCTCTGCTGTCTCTCCATTCCATTTGAGGCTGTGGAAACCAACCTTTTGAATTACACTGCACTAAGAGACCTCTGGTATTAGGAGGATGCACAAGAATCTGTATTTCAAAGCTTGTAGCTGGTTGGAAAAAAAAGGGGAAAACAGTATTTTTAGTTGAAGAAAAGGTGAAAAGAAAACAGAGAGAGAAAAGCTCCCCTCCCCCACTCTAATCCCTGTGCCTTTAAGACATACTGAGAGCCAAGCACTGTGAGGCTCTTTCTGGTTGTCACTACATGCTAATCAAAAGAGAAACAGGATAAGCCAGACTGAAGGGTTTTGATATACAAATTAACAAGTCAGGAAGGAAATGCCTGTTTGTTTCACTTATTCATTCCTTCAAAAATATTAGTTATTTAGTGAATCTAGGAGACTGGGCTATGTCCATGGACAAAAACAATCAAGATCTCAGTCCTCTTGAAATTATAGCTTAATGTTTTTTCTTGTATCTTCATTAGTCATATTTGAGCTGCCATAATAAGTTACAAGTAAACAAGTAACATAATTGTGTTTATAACTTTAATTGAAACTTTAATATGTATGTTCTTTGAAATATAATAGGTATTCACATATTATAAAAATAAAGCAGTACAGATCAGCTTAGAGAAAATAAACTAGTTTTTGAAGAATTTCAGGATGTTGCCCAAGACGTAAGGGCTTGCCTAATGTGTGGGCAAAGAAAAAATAATAGAGAAGTAAAGTGTTACTCTAGAGCAGCTTCACCCAGTAAGTTTCTGCAATGATGGAAATATATGATATCCTTGCTGTCCACTATAGTAGCTCTTTGCTACATGAGACTATTAAGCACCTGAAATTTGGCCAGTGAGACTAAGAATTGAATTTTTAATTTTACTTAATTTCAATATATATTTAAATAGCTACATGTAGCTAGTGGCTGTATATGGTAGCTCAGCTCTAAGCAATAGAACTGAATGTCATAATATCCAATAAAAAGGTTAAGTGTGAGTGTGCCTAGAACCTTACACTAGTGCCCTCACTTTTGTGAAGCTGTTCAGTCTACTCCAAGTTCTCCATCTCCCCACCATTTCTTTGTCATTCAGAATACTTCAAGAGTGAGATGATTGACTTAATATATATTTGCATGCAGGACATATATGTCATATATATTGGAGGACATTGAAGAGTGTAGATGAAGGTTTTTTTGAAATATTTAAGAACATTAGTCTGCAACTAAGTAGTCAGTGAATTGAGTCAGAGAGAAATGGGAATAAGAATTATCATTAAGGAGACTGTTGTAAAGATTTAGACAGTTTATAGTGTCAGGCTTCACTAAAGCATTGTCGGAAATAATTAAAAAGTTAGTAATGAATCCTGAAAGGGTTCTGTTGATACTTTACAGGTCTAGCAGTGTATGTGGGTATGCTGATGAAGGTATATCTACTGATGTGTGCAGATATAATTTGCATTCTTTGTCCTACACTCTTCTCAGTTCAAAGACTAAATGCATGAATTTGAACTTGCTAACCCAACCATACAATATGAAAATGTTCAGAAATACCGAGCATCTTCCTACTACTCAGCCTCAGATGGGTTGAAAATCCCTTTGAAGATCCATCCTTACCTGTGACCTTCACTTCTGTGATGGCTTCTTCATAGAAATCACCATCTTTGAAGAAGCAGTGGTAAGGCCCATCATCATCAACACTGATATTAGAGATCCTGAGTGTCACTTTACCCTTCCCAATGGCTTCTTTCAGGAGCTGGGTCCGCTCCACATACTGGAAGATAGTTTCCCCATGCAGGTCTTTACCATCCTTGTATAGGTGAACAGGTTGTTTGTAGCGGTTCCGGAACCAGCGTACTTCCATGTGTTCTGCATTTTGTGATGGGGACAGATAGCAGCTGAGCTCCACTACTCCACCCAGTGGAGCCACGATTGGCCCCTGTAAGCCAGTCACTGTGAACTGTTCTGGGAAGGGAAATAGTAACCAAATAGTCAAAGTATGAGCCAGTTTACACCTTGTATTTGATTTTATATATATAAAATTGTATGTATGTATGTATGTATGTATGTGTGTATATATGTATGTATGTATGTATATATGTACATATATAATAATGTGTGTCTGTGTGTCTGTCATATACATATACACAACACAGATACACACACATCATTCCACATATTTCAGTGAAGTGTTAGAGGCCATTCTGCCACATTTAAGTTGCTTATATATTTCTGTTTCTAATAATTCCACATTCATTTTATAACTTGACTCATTAAGGATAATCTGTGTTTCTACCTCTCTAGGTATTAATGGGTTCTTAACACCCCCTACAAATGCCACCTATAGGACCACCTTAATGTTTTAGCATGTTGCCAGAGATTCCCAATATACTGTTTTCTTTGATTCTCTTTAAAAAAGCTCAAAATAAAAATGTCAAGAAAATAGAAAATCAGAGACCAGTTAAAAGGGGTATTTCACAGTGCTCAGCCTTAACAAAGGACTCTACATTCATTAAGCGCTTAGTCAAATAATGTAGGCTGACTGATCCGCACAGGCAAATAAAGTCTTCTTCAAAAAACATTTGCGTTATTACTCATGCTCTGTCTTTCAGCCTCAGGCCAACCACCAATCATTCTCACTTAGACTGAAGAAACCCACACTGACATTGACACCTGACAGATTTCTCTTTTTATATCTTTAGCATTCAAAAATTACGCTCTGGCAAAGGTATATATGTATATATATATATGTAATCTCAGACTATGTAGAATCTCATCATGGGAGGCTTTCTGCACCATCTAGATTGTTTTCTTACATTTTTGGTTGGGGATTCTAATCTTTGGCCTCAAAGAGTGTAAAAGTTTACTAAGCTATTGTTTATCTCTTCTCAATGAATTTCATAACTTCTTGTCCTCTGAAGTAGAAAGCCACATACCATACAATTCATTGAAAGGGAAAATAAGACTTCGATGTATGTTAAACCTTTATACAATAAAGAACAAATATATTTGTTTATTCCTGTATACATTTTAAACTGATTTCTTTGCAATTATGAACTATTACAGATTTGAATGGAAAGACTTTGAGTACGGAATTATTTAAATAAGAAAATAAAAGGAACAAAAGTTATCAATTTGGCTCAAATAAACTCTTATAAGACTTTTAAACAAACAAACAAACAAACAAATAAATAAATAAAGTGTCCCAAATTTGTATGCAGAAAAATATTGCTCACATTTTGACACAAGCCATCCAATAATAGAGCAGAGAAGAAATTAAAGGTAACTTCAGATACTCAATAATTGCTAACCTATATTAACCATTTAAAATATGCAGAGCAATATTCTAAATTTGAAAATATGAAATAAATAAAAAATGACATACCATATTTATGACTGGGAAGAATCAATTTTTTAAAATTTTCAAATCTCCCTCCCTTAACAAAGTATAACTTCAGTATAGTTTCTGTATCCCAATAGTTGTTTTTTCTTAATTGACAAGTTGACACAAATCAATGTGGATATGTAAAGGCTAAAGGATTGCCAAGACACGACTGAGGAAGAGGAAGAGAAAGAGGATGCACAAGAATAAAGAAGATGGGAGTGAAATGAAGAAGGAGGAGAAGAGAAGAAAATATAATGGAGGTTGAACTGTATAAGAAACCTTTAATATAAATTCAACTGTTTTTTCTGGTTAAGCTCATTGATATGAAGTATATCATAATTTTTGTAGCAATGAAGTTTAGCAATTTGGAGATCAATATAATATAATAATTGTTAAATATTACTTTAAATACATTATAAAATGGTTTTAATAATATTAGCCAAAGACTGGATACCAAATATGTGTGCATCAGTAAGATTTCTGCTATTTAACAAGCAACATTTGCTAGATGTTTTTATTTATTTATTTATTTATTTATTTATTTATAATCTTTGTTTCTTCAGCTATTCAGGATCTTTCTCTTAATCAGGTAACATTGGTTAATACAATTATATAATTTTCAGGTGTACATTATAATTTGACATCTGTATATTCTATTGTGTTTACCACCCAAAGTTGCTAGTTATAAACAAGCTATGCTTATTTCTGCTTTGCATAGACTCTCTTATAAATGCAAATTTTCACCTGTCAAGCTCTCCCAAGTCTATTCTACTCTTCTTCAACTGATGCCCTGCTGTACTGATAACTTGTGTAAATTCCAATATGGATCCATATCTTAGACCACTTCCTCACTGTGTAAGTGAGACAAACCATTTCTCCTCTATATGAATACTGGGTTCTCAAGGGCAAGTATTAGGTCTTTTTCATTTGTTTCTTCCCCCTGGAATGTAACACAAATCTGGGCATAAAGAACCCTTGCTGATTATAAATGATTACTTTTCCCCAACCATAAGCTGGATTCTATAGTACATAGTCTCACAACATAATTGTGTATTAAACCTGAGGAACAATGGTCAAAAGAGCTTAACCCTTTTGTTCTGTCCTTGCTTTTTCAGACATACTCAATATTGCCATGGATCATAAAGATGAGAGAAAGATTCATACCTGAACTTGGTGTTATCATATGAAGGAGGAGCATGAAAACAAAGTATCTGGTGGAAGATAGTCCTGTAGTTTCCATTACACCTGTGATAACAAATGAAGGCGTTCAGAACAGTGATAACTGGAGTATGCAGATGCAGAAATCATATATCTTTACACCTTTTTTCACAGTAATGAACTCTCAAGTAGTATTATCAGATAAATTATAACTCTCAGATTAATTTGGATATCAAATAAACTGAATAATTTCCTAGTATACATATTTCCCATGCAATATACATATTTGGATATCAAATAAACTGAATAATTTCCTAGTATACATATTTCCCATCCTTTAATTTTTATTTGCCAAATCCGGCAACCCTATTCTTAAGAATGTCTAGTATAATGACCATGTCCAGCCACAGGCTTTATTCCCATTAAAGGATCGAAGGCTAGATGTGCTTTGTCTTCTGGTCTGTAAACTCCATTGGGTGAACTGCTACCTCAGGGAAAGTGGCAGCAAATGTAGGAAATAGGTCCCAACCTTCCAAGCCTCAGTAGTTCAAGCATATCCCACAGTTGATTATATTCCTTTACACAGGAAAGTTTAAAGACAGATTTAGCCTTATTTTTCTGGAGGGATGACCTGAGTGGCCATTTTGGAAGCAAATATGACTTTCTACTCATTAGTGGGTGCAATCCATCTGCATTTTCTGCTCCTGGAGGACCTATAATTAGAGACAGATGTGTTGAATTATATGGCCAGTAAAAACTAGGGAAGAATGAAATTGTCTTTCATTGCCAAATGTGAAGAAGGCTTTTTGTCAGTTCTGTAGTGGTTTGGCTTTTGACTCAGCACACAAATATTCATCATCCTTTCCTCCCTTGAAAAAAACAAAAAACAAAACAAACAAACAAAAAAAAAACAGAAAAGCATTGGGAAGGTGCTAGGGTTGTGGTGAAGTGGACAGACAGGCGAATGGTTACAATAACGTGAAAATGCCATGATATATATGTAGGCAACTCTTAGAACCTTGGAGAGAGCAATGCACTTTGCAGCCTCATGGCAGTAAGAAGACCCATGAAGGCTTTACTAGGGAAGCAGTGTCAACATTTTGAGGAATGAGGTGGCTTTCTCATAGAGAATAAAGGTGACAAGGACACGCATCAGATTCAGCACAGGAAAATATTACTGGGCAAGGGAAATTGAAGAAAATATGTGTGTAGTAAGATTTGAGAGGAAGGCAGAGAGCCAACTGTGAAGAGCTTCACATACCTAGTTAATGAATTTAGGCTTCATTATCTAGGAGCAGGAACTCCTAAGGGGCTGAGAGGTAGTATGCCTGGTGGTTCAATCAAAGTCCTGGAATGATGTTGACTCAGTTTAAATCCTGGCTTTACTACTAAGTTATATGTGTTCAGGCTAGTTACTAAAACTCTCTGTGATTCCATTTTTTTCATTTGTGAATAATAATTTCTTGCTCATTATATTTTTTATTAAAATTAATAGAATTATTATACGTAAAGAGGTCAGAATAGTGCCTGATAAGTACTAAAGTGTAAGCACCACAAAGTACATAAGAATCATAAAATTTTTGCGTTCTTATCATTTCTAGTAATACTGAAATGCGATATTTTAGAGTAGTGAAAAGTGGGAGTTTGGAACCAGAATCAAGTCCTGTCTTTGCTACTTACCAGTTATGTGATTTCAGGTTATTGATGTAACCTTTTTGCCCTTTATTCCACTTTCTGGAAAACAGAGGTAATAAAAGTACATACTCCATAGAGTTAAATTAATTAAATACTCAGAGTAAAAAGTGGACTGTAATAAGTGTTATCTTCGGCTATTAAGGGAGGATTTAAAATTGTGGCAGATTTACATATTTGAAATGTGATTCTGGAGGTCAGGAAAGGGCCAGAGAAGGAATACCACACAGCAAGCTGTCACAAACATTTCAGCCCAAGTGGGTGAAGTTGGGTAAGGAATGAAAGATCAGGATATGAGAGACACAAATGTTGTATTACTGCTGGGACTCAGTGAGTCTCTGAATGTAAGAAAGGAGAGAGATGTATTTACATAATTCTCCTGGGTTTCCAGAATGAGTGGTTGTGTGGAGAAATTGTGTCATTAGTCTTAACAAGAAGTGAAGGAAGAGCAATTGAGCTTTGACCATGTCAAATTTTGTTTCCATGCAATTGTTTTTATTTACTATATTGACTTTTTTGTACATATCATACTTTGTTACAATTGTTAAGATACATGACTTTACCATTAGATCTTGAAGTCTCTAAGCATAGGAATTATATGTTCTCATCCCAAAATATGTTACGGAATC